GTTGGAAGATGGCTACATGCCCTCCCAGCACCTGCAGTTCATCAGTGCATAAAACTGTCCCAGAGGAGTTGGGGGCATTCACAAAAACACCCTCCACTCCCTGCCTGTCAGAGGGCACTAAGCCAAGCCTGGCCAAAAGAGAGCCCGTTTGAGGCCATACGTCCTGATGAGATCCCAGGATACGGGGATTTTAGGATGCAGAGTAAATGACTAAAAGGAGCCTGCTCCAAGCGCAGCTATAACTTGTGAGAGACAGATTCAGCGGAGGTGTCAGTCGTTACCTTGGATAAGGGAAAGAGACTTGGAAGATGGAATCAGCAACTGGGATGAATCCAGGGCAGTTTCCTGGAGAGAGAATTCCACGGCAGAGCTGCTCTCTCCCCGACCTCCAAGGGTCCTCCCACTTAACACCCAACAGCAACCACCCCTTCAAACTGCAGGCCAGGAGGGCTGAGAGAGCAGGGAAGGTTGCCTGGGCCTCCCAGAGACTTCCTGGGCCAAGACTGCAGGAGAAAATGTTCCCATTCCACATAAACATACGGGGCATCCAGAGTTCTACTCAAGTCCTGCTAAGCTACCAAGCCCTTTCCTGTGTGCATTCTATTCTTTCCAAACCACCTGTGACCCTGTTAACTTTAACTACCTAAATGGTCAGCACTGGTCACGAGAATGCATGTGTGTAGCTTTGGCTACTTGAATATGATGGTGGGCAATCTTGTATCAGAAGGCAGCTCCCCAAATCAAGAGCTCCTATCTTGCCTCAGTCTGGGGCCCCGGAGGACAAGAGCTGTGTGCCTCCCATCAAAGAAGCAGCCTTCTGATTCCTCCCTTCCTACGTCCCCTCCAACAGAGCCTGTGAAGACACCGGTGCTCCTAACACTGTCTCCACTGCCTCCTCCTCTCCTGCTCTCAGGAAGGTGCCTACAGAAGAAGGTGAGAAGCGAGAAGAAGGCCTCTCCAGCTTTTTTTGAGGTTTATGCATCAGAAGCTGAGTCTTCTCCAAAGGACGTATCTGTGATCATAGATAAGCCCTGATGTCTCCTTAACACTCCCAACTGCCACATGTTTCTGAGGAATTGCCACCATTCACACACACACAAGCAAGCATGCCCACACCTCCTCTGTGGGGCCTGCCCATCAGACAGATACTGAAAGCAGCATCAGAAGAAAGATGAAACCCCACTAGCAAATGTCGCTTCTATGGCTGACCCTGGAGTCTCTGCACAAGGGCTGGGTTTACCTGCCGTTTCAAACTGAAACCTTTCAACCACTGTCAGTCAATAGGCCTCCAGAGCTCGCTTCAGCTCCGGTGGAACTTACTGAGCACTACTGAAATGCCTGTCACCACGCTGGCACTTTGAGACATTTGCTTTAAGGACCTATCTCCTCTGCACATACAGGTATAAGCAGGAACTGGGTCCTAAACTGTCACGCTGCTGCACAAGTCAGACGTGCTAGCAAGTATGCATTTCAGGGTTAAGTGTCTAAGGGCTATAAATCTTTAAAATCTGGCATACCAAGTTTTACAAAATCCTAAATACCTATGTGTCATAATCCTATGAACACCTATCATTTCCTCTCTGATATGATTAAAGCTGATAATCAGTTGCTGTCCACACAGATATGCCATCAGGACTACTTCTGGTCTTGAGGGATAAAATGGAAAACAGACTTGCCCGTTCACACCTCATGCAAAGCTAGCTCAGGGCTGGGACCCACCAGACCTGGGACCACCATCAGTATCATGCCATATCTGCCTCCTTTGTTTCGTTTTTCCTGATACTGGGGACTGAACCCAGGGCCACCTGACCACTGAGCTACATCCCCAGTCCTTTACAATTTTTTTTTTTTAATTTTGAGACAGTCTCCCTAAGTCGCTGAATTGCTCACTGAATTGCTGAGTCTATCTAGCCTTGAACTGAAACAATCCTCCTGCCTCAGCCTCCCAAGCCCCTGGGATTACAGGCATGTGCCACCTCACCTGGCTGTGGACATTCTTTTGCTTAGACTTTATAAGGACTGGTGAACCCTCACAACAGGAAAACCCGGGCCACACAACATCAACGCTGGGAGCTGCGGTCCAAAGGTGCTCCTCCTCTCCCTTGCAGCCCCACTAAGCAAAATGGTTCCTTTTTATACCTATGGTAATCACAAGTTAGGTACCGTTTCCCTGCAAAATCTCCATGGCACCTCAGCTTCCAGGGGAGAAGTGTGCCATCTCCCACAGAGCCTGGCTTCTCCCTCCTGGTTATTCTCTAAGGAGAGAAACACCCAGGTTCTCTTGGGTCACCTGGGTTCATGCTGTCCAAACTGAAACTAGTGCCACAAGTTTCTGAAGGCCACAGTCTAATCAGGATCATTTGGATCATTAAAACTCCACCATAATTAACAACCAATTCTGATTGAAGCTACTATTTCAACACATTGCTAGGCAGAACAAAGTTCAAGTGGGGTATCCTCAACAACAGCAACTGAGTTCCGGTGATGAAAGAAAGGGGGCCTGCTTTTCCTCGTACGCAGAGCGGATGCTGCCGGTCCAGGGTCAATAGGAAAGTTTTGAGTCAATCTCCTAGGAGTAGAAGAGTTGAGCTTGCCTCAAGCCACCCAGGGACTCTTTCCAGGCCAGAGTCCAAGGGCAGGCCAAGTTGAAAGTCAGGATGTGCTGTTATATCAGAAAACAACAAAAAGAGAGCATCACCTTCTACACTGTGCACTACTATTCCCTCTTTCATATGCCTGCAAAATAGATATTCCTATTCCTACTTGGGAGACAAGATGATGGTCATTCAACAAATACCTGCTGAGTGTCTCGTCTATGCAGGAACTGCATAAAGTGCGACTTTGCTCAAGGTGACACAGGTGGCAGGCAGCAAAAGGGGCACCCAAACCAGGTCACCTAATCTCAAGTTCATTCCATTCCACAGCTGCCCCTCTGACTGAGGTCAATGTCACATACCCTATGACAGAACACCAGAGACAAAGGGCCATGGTAGAAAGAACTACATGGTCCATCTCTTTAGTCTGTGCCTCTGCAAGGAAAGTCGGTATTGATGATCAACCCTCTCAAACACCAGCTGTCTCGACAGACAATTCAAAGTAGCCCCCAATATCACATTAGTTACAGCACTGTCCCTGGTGAGCCATCCAGACCTGGGAGCTGGGAGCCCATGCACCCTCACAGCCTAGTAGGCAAGACAGAAACACCCCCAGCAAAGCACTCATGAGACCCCAGGATAGAAATTTTGGCAAGGGCTGGGGTTGTGGCTCAGAGGTAGAGCGCTTGCCTAGCGTGTGTGAGGCACTGGGTTCGATCCTCAGCACCACATTAAAAATAAAGATATTGTACCCACCTAGAATTGAAGAATAATATATTTTAAAACCAAACGGGAATTTGAAGTCCTACCCCTTGAACCAAGGACTGAGACCTCCAGTTTGCCTCTCTTAGGCCACCTCAAGACCTGTGCCTTAGACCTATTCCTCAAGCACAACCCTCTGGTTATGGCACGTGCTCCAGGCCAGGGGTTTTGGAAACAATGTCTGCCATCCACTCTGGCTGGCCATCCCCACTGACCAGCCTGTCCTGACAGTTGCATCAGAGAAGGGGCCAGTCATACACTAAGCTGACTATCTCAAGAATGCCAAAAATCTTCATGAATGGGTCACCCTGCGCCTGCAATCGCAGGGAGGTGGGGCCCATAGCTACCGGTCAGGTAAGTGAGGACAAACACAAGAAGCTGAACCAATCAATAAGTGAGTCAGAGAAGGCAGAGTATAAAACCCCAGGAGCTCCAGTGCTCCCCACATCAGCATCTCCTCTCCTCACTCACCCTTCCTGGTGCTTCAGGTAAGTGTGGGTTCTCCTGGCTTCCTGCTCAGGCCTACATGTGTGGGTGAACAGGCCTCTCTCTCTGGGAGCTACAGGTCCTTTACTGCTGCATTCATAAGGAGAAGGGATTCAGGGAAGGGATGGAGGACCCAGGTGCAGATAGTGTTTCCGGTCCTCTGGCCAGACTGTAACCTCCACCAAGATGCGTCTATCTTGGCCCTCTCTGGGGCAGTACCAGACACACTGGGGGACGTACTCTGCAGTGGCTGAGCAAGGCAGCCTGTGCAGGGGTTGGATGAACTTCATGAACCTGTCGGGAAGAGAGGCTGAGCACACTCTCATAGAACAGAATGGTTCAAGGAATGCTGCAGAGAAGAGGGGTTTTAGGAGCCACAAAAATCCAAATCCTGTTTCAAAGAGGATTTGGATGGATAAGCCATTACCCTCTCAGATCATCATTCTCAGATGACTGAGAGGGTAATGGCTTATGAGATGCTGTGGACACAAATTCCTACTATTTACAGTTCCTTCTACCAAATTTGGACTTAGCATCTCTTAAAAGATATGTCCAATATATCCAAGACGCTGGTCCCTAGGACCATCAGGGTCCTTTCCCCTGTTTCCATTCACAGCAGAGCCTTTTCTAGTAACTAGTCCTGCAATCACAGCCTCCCTCACTGGGACAGAGCAAGAGTTTGAACTATGGGCTTCTGCAGAGAATGGAATGCAAACCGGGCCTGTGACACCCCGACACACCTCCCCCACCCTAGGTAGAGATCTGGGGTAGTTTTCTACTTTAACTCAGAAAACCTGTGTTGGATGGGAAGCGACCTAGGTGTCAAAGTGTTCCAACACCTCATTTTACAGAAGATGAGAAGCAGGAGCCCGAGGGGGTGATCTGCCCCAATTCACAACAGAGATCAGAAGAGCTGGGAGAGAGGGCAGGCACACTAGCTGGGCTTCAAAACTGGGCAAAAGGGCCTTCTGCTGGATGGAACCTTCTGCAAAAGTAGCGATCCTCAAGTCCTGGCACCTGAACAGAGCGGCCCAAAGGGAGGCGCCAGGAGCCTCCGGGGTGTTGTCGCCGTGCAGCTGTCTTCTGTGCTGCCTCCTACTGTCGCTGGTCCAGTGATGCTCTTTTCTCTTTCCAGGGTCCCCTTCCTCCTTAGACAAGATGTCCCACCAGAAAAAGCAACCCACCCCCTTTCCCCCAGCGGGTTGCGGGAAGACCTCTGGCGGCGGCGGTGGCGGCGGCGGCGGCGGCAGCGGTGGCTGCGGCTTCTATAGCGGCGGCGGCGGCTCCAGCTGCGGCGGAGGCGGCGGAGGAGGCGGCGGAGGCTGCGGTGGCGGTGGCTCTGGGGGCGGCTCCAGTTGCGGAGGCGGCGGCAGCGGAGGCTCCGGAGGAGGGATCAAGTACTACGGGGGCGGCGGCTCCAGCTGCGGCGGCGGCTACTCCGGGGGCGGCGGCGGCTCCAGCTGCGGTGGCGGTGGCTCTGGGGGCGGCTCCAGCTGCGGCGGCGGCGGCAGCGGAGGCTCCGGAGGAGGGATCAAGTACTCCGGGGGCGGCGGCGGCTCCAGCTGCGGCGGCGGCTACTCCGGCGGCGGCGGCGGTAGCTCTGGAGGCTGCGGCGGCGGCTCGGGAGGAGGCCTCAAGTACTCCGGGGGCGGCGGCTCCTCCGGGGGCGGCGGCGGCTCCGGCCCGTACTACCAGTGCCAGAGCTACGGCGGCGGCTCCAGCGGCGGCTCCGGGTGCGGCGGGGGCTCCTCCGGCGGCGGCGGCGGCTCCAGCTGCGGCGGGGGCTCCTCCGGCGGCGGCGGCGGCTACTACTCGCAGCAGACCACCCAGGTCTCGTGCGCCCCGCAGCACAGCCACGGCGGCGGCGGCGGCGGCGGCTGCGGCGGCTCCTCCGGGGGCGGGGGCGGCGGCGGCTGCGGCGGCTCCTCTGGGGGCGGCGGCGGCTGCTTCTCCAGCGGCGGGGGCGGCGGCGGCTGCGGCGGTGGTTCCTCCGGAGGCGGCGGCGGCTCCAGCTGCGGCGGTGGCTCCTCCGGGGGTGGCTCTGGGGGCGGCAAGGGCGTCCCTATCTGCCACCAGACCCAGCAGAAGCAGGCGCCTTCCTGGCCGTGCAAATAAGGCCCCCAGGCTGCCGCGGAGAAGGAGCTGGAGGTGTTCTCCCGGGCGCCAGCGGGCTTAGCGATCTCATGATGTTGCCGCCTTCCCGAATCTTCCCGTCTTCACCACCACGGAAGAAGCCAAGCAGTCCTCAGGCTGCCTCGAATCATTCTGCAGCTTTTTTTTCTTGGTTTCTGTATGACTACCTCCCAACTCCAGTGCCTCCTTCATCAATAAAGTTGCAATTCATGAGAATCTCTGGGTCTCCAGCAGTTTTTGTAGCTTCCAAATTCACCCTTTTTGTCCTGTTCTTCATTCTTCCATTCATCCATCCACACTTACATTCATTCAACGAATATTCTATTGTGGAGAGTGGGGGGGGGAGGGGCGGGGAGGATAGAGGGAGTCCGCAGGGGAGGAATGGCTAGTAAACAATGACCAAAAATGTGAAAATCTGGTTTGTGGCTTACCATCATGAAGTGATCCCAAAACTCAAAACTCCTGGAAAGTGACTTTCACTAACCACCACCAACACACACACACACACAGTGAGTTGGGTAGCCACCATGAGTCTCCTCATCTAGATTTTTGTTTTGTTCCGTTGATTGGATGGTTTTGTTTTGTTTTGTTTTTGTAGACAAGCTGCCCTGAAAAGACCCCTCTCTCATGATCTGCATCTTACTCAGCAAAGTCTGATAATAGGGTGACTGCACCTAGGCACCCAGCTGCCCAGACTCACAGGAGAAAGGACAGCCTATGAGATATTCAAGAGCCTCTGCAGTGGGAAAGGCACTCTCCTAGGCACCTGTAGGAACAGAAGGAAGTAGGGAAGCTATTGTCTGCCCTCTTGAAGGGTTTTCACCCAGCTTGGGAAGACACAGCATAAATGCGTGAGATGTTAAACATCAGTACCAGCAGGTCGCAGGAAAACTCATGAAACTTCCCAGTTAACTAGGAGGAAGCTACAATGGTTCCAAGGGATGTGTCAATTGCCTAGTCTTCAGTCAAGGGGCAGATCATCCACCTAGCCAGCTTCTGTTTTATATTCTGATTTTACTCATTTACTTAAAGCAAAATGTACTCAGAGCAAAACTACTTCATCAAAAAATCAAGATCACTTTCCCATCTAGTCACTACTAGAAAAAAAAAAAAAGACAAATTCTCCTCCAATTCTTCATATAGAGTCATCATCACCTTCATCATTTTTACATCAGTAACACAAATCAGAACAGGTAGCAGCCGTAACAATATAGTAGTCCACCTTGTGTATTATTTTATGTTATTTTTAAACAAATGAAATAGACACGGTGGGGTAGACATATTTCTCCCTACTGTTTCTGTTAATTAGAGATAAAAATCTCTGGACATGGCATATAAAACAAAAATTTAAAAGCCTAGAAAGAAGGAAAGAAGAAGGCAGAGTAACTAAAGTCCTCAGAACTAAGGAACTGACCCAGATAAATTCGTAATTCCCTGAGTTTTCTTTTTCCCCACTAGGTATACTAGATTGGGCACTCAGAATTCTACAACCAAAAAATGTTGACAGATGTAAACAAAAATAATCCCTCAAAAAAAAAAAAAAAAAAACCCTTTATTTATCCAAAGAATCAGGAAAGGAATGACTTAGCAAATCAAGTCATCTCTTTTTGACAACACCCACCCTACTTCAACCAATACCACATGGAAAAAATGTATAGACTTCCACCCTGGAAGGAGTTCCTGGGAGCTAAGAAGCCCTACCACTCTCCCTCCCCCAACACACACAAACACTGCTATGGTATAGCAAAGATACAAGTCTCATAATTCCCAAAATGTTCAGCACACTATAAAAAAAAGTCACTCATCATATCAACAACCAGGAAAATTCTTAATTGGAATGAGGAAAGACCCAATAAATTGATGCCATCACTGAAATGACAGAGATTTGAGGATTATCAGTCAAGATTTTAATAAAAACTCATTATAAAATGCTTCAATAAGAAACTATAAACAATTGAAACAAATTTTAAAAATTAGAAAAGTCTCAGCAAAGACATTGAGAAGAACCAAGTTGAAATTTTAGAACAAAAGAAATGTAACCTTTTATAGAACTGAATTTTAGAACTGAAAATTTTTTTAATCTCACTGGATAGTCTGTATAATTAGATGGGGATGACAGAGTAAAGAACTAATTAGCTAAAAAATAGATCAGTAGACTGGAGAGAGAGAGAGAGAGAGAGAGAGAGAATGAATCTGTGAGACAACAAAACCTGCTAGCATTTGTGTCCCTAGAGACTCAGAAGGAGAGGAGAAAGGGTTTGGGACTGAAAAATATTAGAAGAAATGATCTCAAAATCACCCAAATGTGGTCAGTGAATCAATCTTTGGATTCAAGATGAGCAGACTTCAAACAGGACAAACCCAAAAATAGTCACATCAACAAACATCATATTCAGTTTTTGAAAAATGATGGCACAGAAAAAAATCTTGAAATACAGTAAAGAAAATAACATAAAGGAAGTATGACTTGGGTAATAGAGATTTCTTGTCATAAACCATGAAGTCCACAAAGAAGTAGTACCACATTTTTCAAGAACTAAAAGAGAAATATTAACTCCAAATTCTGTGTCCAGTGAAAATATCCTTTAGAAATTATCAGTCCGTATGAAAGAGAACTATGAACATTTGTTGCCAGCGGACCCATCCTAGAAGAATGGCTAATGGAAGGTCTTAAAACAAAAAGGAAATGATAAAGAAGTGAATTTGCAATATCAGGAAGAAAGAAAGAGAGATAAAAAGGGTCAAAGTACGGGTAAATATAGGACAGTATCCTTTTCCTTCTGAGTTTTTTAAAATTATGTTTCATAGTTAGGAACTGTATCATCAATGTGCTTTTCATGGATGTAGAGGAAATGTTAAAACAACTGTATTATAAATAGAGAAGTAAAGGAGCCTAAATGGAGGTAAGATGGTTTCCCTACCCAAAACACCATGGTAAGTTATCTATAGTGTAATACCTACAGCAGCTGCTAAAAATATCAATATGTGCAAGGAGATCCACTCAAAAACACTATAGATAAATCAAAATGCAATAATTTAAAGCTGTTTGGAGTTGAGGGATAAATGACATGCATAATGTAAAGCTGTCCTTCCTACACTCCTTGATACATCTTTTATTATTTCTGTGCTAGTCCCAAGTGTCATAATCTCTCTCCTGGTTTCTTGCTAATATCCATCCAAAACTATCTTGTATGTGTTTTGTCTATGGCTTCTTTTGCTTTGTATTAAATTCATAAAATTCATTCGGGTATTTTCTTTGAGCAGTAATATTTTATTTTTCACTTTTATATGGTTTAGCAGTATATGAATGTGCCATAGTTTTTCTACTGTTGATTGACATTTGGGTTGCTATTTTCAACTTTTTGCTATCACGAGATTTGTACATGTTAAGCTTTGATGAATAATAGTCAGTTTTCCCAAGTGGTGCCTCAGAGTTCCTGATAGTGATGGTTTGCAGCTCACCAACACACACTTGGTTTTGTTTTTGCTGTAGTATTGATCAATACCTAACTTTCTGGGCTGGGGATGTGTCTCAAGCAGTAATGCGCTTGCCTGGCATGCGCGGGGCGCTGGGTTCAATCCTCAGCACCACATAAAAAAAAAAAAATAAAGTTTTGTGTCCACCGAAAACTGAAAAATAAATATTAAAAAATTCTCTCTTTCTCTCCTCTCTCTCTCTCTCTCTCTCTCTCTGTCTCTTTAAAAATAATACTTAGCTTTCTACAAATAAAATATTCATGTGTTCTGTTTCTATTATCATTCATTTCAACATTACCCTGGGAATCATATTTCAACATGACCTTCAGAAGGGATAAACAATCTTCCAAAAATACACCTTTCAGTCTTCTGAGAAGAAGAATATTCTTTAAATTAAAATATTCAAATGAATATTTTAATTTAAAATACTGCTTGTTTATTTCCAGAATTTCCATTTGTGACTTTTGTAAGGTGCCCATTTTACTATGGAGAGTCCCCTTTTAAAGATTATTTATCTGAGCATTTTTCTATAAATTCTTTAACATTAGCTTTTTAAATCTGTTAACTCTACCATCTGCTCATCCTTCTTTTGTTCTCCTTCTCTAGATTATTTATTCTCCTGATTATGGGTCATAGGATTTCATTGTTGTTTGTTGATGTTGTTTTCACATTTAGTAATGTTGCGTTTTCTGGTTCTATTTTTTCCTCTGAGAAAACCTGTAATCTGTCTGGTAGAGAGGTACATTAATAGCAGACCCCCTAATCCGTATCTAAAGAATTCCCTTTAGGCTTGGTTACAGTGAATCTGTATCTGTTTAGACCTTATTTCTAGGATGTTACCCTTGGTCCTTCATTACCGTATTAATTCCTAAAGTGTAACTTCTCTGAAAGTGGGACCAAAAAAAAAACAAGATTTTTACCAAAACCATCTAGCTTGTCGGAACTCAGACTCTGTCCCTCGGGTACCAGAAGCCAGTGAAGTCACACTCAGCTCTAGCTCTCCAACTCTTAATTGTCCTCTTGCACACAGCTTTTTCTAGCATCCTACCTGCTTCAATTTTTTATTTTTACTGCTCTCAAAGATTCAAAAGACTTCAAAAGAAATTATTTTTCATATTTTCCCAATATTTATCATTGTTATTAGAAGACTGTTAAATCATTTTAAAAGCCACTTTGACATCATCAGAACTGAAACCTCTCCATAGTTAGCTCTGTACAGTATGTTTATTATGTTTTTGTTTGTTTGTTTGTTTGTTTGATACTTGGAAATGAACCCAGGGGCAATTAACTGCTAAGCCACATCCCCCAAACCTTTGTATTTTTTGAGACAGGGTCTCACCAAGTTGCTGAAGCTGCTCTCAAACTTGCAATCCTCCTGTCTCAGCATCCTGAGCCACTAGGATTACAGGTGTGCGCCACTACACCCACTATTGTAGCCTTAATAAGCATAATTATTGTTCAATTTTTCAGGGGCATCTGGAAATGTAAGCCCCTCCTCTATACAC